GATCAATTCTGGCTTTAAAACTCAGTATGTCTGACAGTGAAGAGGGCTGACAGTTAAACAACAGCGTGCGTGCGTGTGTGTGTGTGCGTGTGTTGCCGTCAGTAACAGAAGTAAACACAACTATGTCACTAAAAATGAACTGATGTGAAGCAGCTGGACCTGGAGTGGAAACAACATAACCTGAGTTTACAGTCTTCTCTCTATCTCACACACACACACACACACACGTGCACACACACACACACACACAGTGTATGTAAGTGAAGTAATCCAACAGCACTGTTGACCTGTACAACGACACGGTGGAGAATCTGCCCAGTGGCCTGTGTGTGTGTGGCTTTCATAGAGGGAAGGGGCAGTGAACCAGTCACAACTGTGTCTGTTCAGTCCGTGTGGTGTCTTCCTATTGAATATGCCCTCCCACCCCCAGTTGCTCATGGCCCCCGCTCCGAACCCCAGTTCAGCCTCTAGACGCTGGTGATGGATGCGAGGCAGGCGCTGGGCTTCTGCAGCTTCTCTGGCTGAGAACCAGCAGCTTCTGTGATGGTGTGGAAGGAGAAGGGGGGGCCACTGCCGCTGGTGATGCCGAGGTGTCCGGGACTCAATGCCAGGTTTTGCCGACGATTACTCTCCACTATTGAAGAGGTGTTAGAAGCTAGACTCTCCCTGGTCCTGTAGGGGGCAGACACACACGATGACCAAACATAAGAAAAACAAAGAAGAACAGAGTGGCTTGAAAAGAGACTCTTCTTCTACTGCCCTCTGTGGTGTCCTGAGTGTCCTACAACCAACTGGTATAAAAGAAAGACAAAGTAGTAAAACTCAGTGACACAGGTCAGACATCTTTGACCATGTCCACGTCCTGGAACCTTTTTAAAATCATCAGAAAAAAAAAAACTAAAAAAGACCTCTCTCACACACGCACGCACGCACGCAAGTCAGGTGTTCTTCAGTCAATAAAACAGTTCTCAATTCAGTTCAAGTTCTTTCAAAATACATTTTCTGGTGCCTGTAGTGAAGGACTAAAGGAATATTCCTGACCTTAGCTTTATTGAACATGCTTAACGTGCTAACATAACCTGCAGACTTACACGAACACTTCTGATCATGATTCTGATCATTTCTGATGTTCTTTTTAGAATTAACACCAACAAGCAGGTTCTACAGCAGGGTTCTGATTCTGTTCTCTACTTAGAAAGCTGTGACATGTTCTCACCGTGGTGAATTGAATCCACTGTCCACTGTCACGGAGCTGGAGTCCATACTGTCCAGTCTAGCAGAATGGGCCGACTGCTGGTTTTGATTTGAATCTGGAAGGTTGTCTTTAGCACCAGGAAAGGTGAGGGTTCTTTCAAACCTCCTCTGCAGATCCCGCTCCTTCTCTCTCTCCAACAACCACTGCATGGTCCCTGCTCCCTCTCGCAGCCCGACCATACCTCCTCTACTTTTCTCCCCTTCCCCTCGACTTTTCCCCCCAACTTCCTCAAGTTCATCGTCGTCTGAAACATTGTAGTAGTCAAAGGACACCTCAGCAGCACTAGTAGTGGGTTCACTCCCCTGTTGGGGGGCAGAAGGTGTTGCCACTAGAGGTTTAGGAGAATCAAAGGCCTCCTGGGAATCAAGTGCATCACAGGACATGGAGAGAATAGTTTGGGTGAGTGCTGGAGGCTTTCTTAGTGAGCTGTAGCCTGGCAGCGGGAGGCTGGGGGGAGGTTTGAAGAGTGTGTCTTTACTGAAAATCTCCTTACATTTGTCCTGAACAGAGGGGACGCTGTGAGGAGTCCGTCCATTAGGAAGAGGAGGGTCAGGGACAATAAGAGGTATGGGAGGCAGGCTACCTCCTATTGGCCCCAACTTCAGGTCGTCCTTTAGTTCTTGAGGGTGAGGAGTTTGTCTGTCTGTTTGCCTCTCAGTATTGCCTACTTTCAGTCCATCGTGACTATTTTTGCCAACAGTTCCAAGTGTGTTCGATGCGGTGAGAACAGCCTCAGAAGAACCAGAACACTGGAAGTAATCGTCCGGAGGCGCAGCAGCAGGCAGTGGTTTTGGTGAGTATGCCGGCAGACTGTCCCTACTTCTAGTCTTCTCTAAGCTCCTGCCTCCATCCAATCCTAGAGAGTCTGCAGGAAGCTTGGCCAAAGGCGGCGTGGCATGAACGTAGTGAGAAGAACTCTGGTTAGCTCGCAGGGAGCCGTCGTCCGTATAATACCGACTCCTGTCGTCATAGTAGTCCGGTGGTCCGGCCAGGCCTGCTCCCAGGGGTCCTTTGGAATTGTCCATGGACCTGGAACGTTCCTTGGCCTTGTCGCTCCGTTCATTTCTGGACTTTCTCTCCTGCGTATGGGAATGCGAGCGGTGAACTTTGGAGTGGTGAGCTGATGGGCCGTGGCTGGGCTCAGGGAAAGGCATCTCAGTGCGTCGCTTGGCGAGCTCTCCAGACACGTCCCACTCAGGTGTAACAGGGAGATGGGAGGAGTCAAGGATGTTAGGGTTGCTGTGCGCCAGGTGAAGCCGTGCTCGCTGACGCTCCATGGCTAAGGCGTGTTCTCTTGGTGAGCGAGCCAGTGAGGAAGAGTAGGCCCGATAGTCCCGATCCGCTAGCTCCAGGTGAGAGCCATCACTGGGTTCGCCATGGGAAACCCTCGTCTTGCTATGAGAGCGGTTAAATCTGGCCTGGGACTGCTTTCTATGTCTACCTCCACTTCTCCTGCTCCTGGAGCTCTGATTGGCCGATGAGGCTTTGTTTCTCTGAGCACGTTCTTCTTCGAGACGCTTCATAACTGCCGTGTGTCGTGCAAGGTTCTCCACAGTAAGGTCGGGATTGATCCTACGGATGATCTCCATCTCGACTTGACGTGGCAGCTGGCTGGGGGCCTCTTCATCATGGAGGGGCCACTCCTCAGGGGGAAACTGTGCAGAAAAAGTGGCCAATTGTTTTGCCTTGTCTCTCTTAAAGCTTAAACGAAAAAGCTTCAAACCAAACTTTCGGCTGCCGGTACCACTTCCTACGCTGGTTTGTTTCTCTGACTCTGCAGATCCCACTCCCCCTCCACCGCTGCCTCCCCCTCCTCGGTGCTTGGTTAGAGTATCCGTCTTGAAGGCAAAGCCAAGGGAGTTTCGGCTCTTCTCTGTGGAACCTCCCGTTTGTTGTGGAGGTGTCTGTGGGGAACGGGGGGATGAGAACGCCTCCCTGTGGTCTTTAGGCGATCGGCGCTGTAAGGTGGTGTGGTGACTGGGTGGGTCTTCCCCACGATAAGGGGTGGTATGGTAGGAATCTCCCCCACTGTGGTTTTGGCCGAACTTCTGGTGTGTTCTCTCTCGCACTCCTCCAGAGGTGGATGGGGTGATGGTGCCAGAAAGAGGAGACGTGCACTGGGTCTGCTGATGCTGCTGCGGGTTCTGAAGTTGCTGCTGCTGCTGCTGCTGCTGCTGCTGCTGCTGCTGCTGCTGCTGCTGCTGCTGCTGCTGCTGCTGCTGCTGCTGCTGCTGCTGCTGCTGCTGCTGCTGCTGCTGCTGCTGCTGCTGCTGCTGCTGCTGCTGCTGCTGCTGCTGCTGCTGCTGCTGCTGCTGCTGCTGCTGCTGCTGCTGCTGCTGCTGCTGCTGCTGCTGCTGCTGCTGCTGCTGCTGCTGCTGCTGCTGCTGCTGCTGCTGCTGCTGCTGCTGCTGCTGCTGCTGCTGCTGCTGCTGCTGCTGCTGCTGCTGCTGCTGCTGCTGCTGCTGCTGCTGCTGCTGCTGCTGCTGCTGCTGCTGCTGCTGCTGCTGCTGCTGCTGCTGCTGCTGCTGCTGCTGCTGCTGCTGCTGCTGCTGCTGCTGCTGCTGCTGCTGCTGCTGCTGCTGCTGCTGCTGCTGCTGCTGCTGCTGCTGCCGCTCAACAGATCTATCTTCTAGGTGATACCACTTGGAGCTGGTTCTGATTAGGCTTGGGGTGATGAAGTAAGTCTGGGGAGTTACAATAAAATATCCGTCTGATGTCGGGTAGATCTTCCGCTCACGCACCAGCATGCTAAGTGTGTGGTGGAGAACCTCCTCCGTTGGTGTGGGAACACCTAAAAGAGTGAGAGATCAACAGTTAAGATATTTGGTTTCTTGTTTAGATACACTGTTTGTTTTCAAGTAGAAAATTCAAAAAATATTTGAATGGAGTCAGTTTGACCTTAAACTGAAAAGGAATTGATAATAGAACCAGGGTCTTAGCATAAGCAACTCGAGCTGATCACATGATCAGCTACTGATGAAAACTAAAGCAGTTCAACAAATGATCAAGTGGAAAAGTCTTGTTTTATTAACAGCAAGTAAAAAGTACATCACTGTATTCACTCTTGTTGTTGTTGTAAACACAACTGTTTATGATCCCGTGGTGAGAGAAAAGAACACATTTTTATTTTCTACTTTTTATTCTCAAACATCAAATTATTTCTCTCTTCTCCACACAGCCGTCTTTCTCCGAGCCACTCCACCGTCGTCAGCAGTCTGTCACTCTGGACCTATTACTGCCACTTACACTAGGTTCCAGTCTAGCCTGAATGATGCAACAGCATGGAGATACACTGACACCCCCCCCCCACACACACACACACACACACCGTAGCCTTAAACAGAATAAAAAACACGACTAAATCCTTTGTGTAGCCAAAAAAAACTTGAAACCATCACATTCAATTATTATTATTATTATTACTTTTTGCTGCAAATACCTGATCACACTTGACTGCACTGTACATTAGTGTTTAGTTTTGCACTTTATCTACACATGGGACAGCGAGAAAAGACATTTCGATTCCTTTGTATGTTTAGTACATGTGAAGAAATTGACAATAAAACTGACTTTGACTTCAATTCTTCTGTCATTTAAGACTAACTAGTAAATCTCACCTTCATTTTTCAAAGGGAACCTGGGGGGGGGGGTGATAAGGTTCAATCTGTGTGTCTAAGTGACAACTAGTGTTAGTTAAACCTCGGGTGTTAACCAATTAAAAACAATTCAAACAGAACAAATATTTAAGGCTCTGATGCCAGCTTGGACAGATGACCACTGGAAATATAGCTATAGCTTTATACATATATTAAAATAGTTCAAGAGGTGAAGGTGGTGGTGTTACCTGGAAAACATGTCTGCAGGTGTTCAGTAAGAGCCTCCTGAGTGACAGGCTTGTGGGCGGAGTTCATAGCAGAGATAGCCAATAGCAGTACCTCTCCCAAAGGGATGAACTGCGACTGGCTGATGGGGGACATACTGATGGGTGACACATCACCTGAGGGGAGACAGAAATCAATGAATACAGGTTGGAGTTTCAATCCAATCATGTTCTGTGAACATAGTTCACCGTGGTGACATCACCGGGGTGACATCACCGTGGTGACATCACCGTGTCTCAAATACCTGGTTATTCTGATGTGACATCACCGCATCACCGTGGTGACATCACCGTGTCTCAAATACCTGGTTATTCTGATAATAAAGGTTATGATGTGAATTGATTTCAATGGTGAACATGTTGACAGACAGAATAAAAAATGAACTCATGTGATCATTTTAGGGTTAAAACCCAAAAAACCCACTGGAGTGAAAGTTCAATACTACAAGATCATCAGGCAAAGACTGTGGAGTGTCTCCTTAGAAGACTTTTTACAGGTCATTAGCTGGAAGACAGCTAACCCCATCCTTGAGGACAGCTAGTGATTTAACTTCTGTATACTTTCTGTTTCTCAGGTCATGTCCCCAACACACTGACAGCAGTCCAACAGTGGACCACTAACTTTGGTCTGTGGGTGCAGACTAACATGTCCCCAGACCTGGACCTTCTAAGACTGTGCATCAGCACAAACACTTGTCTGGGACAGTCAGCGACAGTCGTCAGCAGCAGCAGCAGCAGCAGCTCGCGGCTCTACATTGACTAACACACAGTCAGTGGTGCTGAAGGAGAGGTAGTCCAGAGAAGGGAAGGAGAAAGGAGACAGAGAGAGGGATAATGGCGCTTTAACGGCTGGTCCTCCTCTTTTCCCCTCCCTCTCTCCCCCCCGGTAGTAAACAATCAGCCAGCCTCCTTTGTCCACAGACTTAAACCACACCCCCTCCTTTTGTCACGCTCCCCTCCCTCCTCCCTCACTCACCCAGTCTATGTCTTCATTTTATTTCTAGTGCTCTAAGGCTTCCTTATCTCTCTGCAGCAGCATCTCTGTCCTCCGTATATCAGTCAACACACTGTGTGTATCGGAGCACATACTCCGAATATCACAGAACGTACTCTGTGTATTACTGAATCCGTTTCTGATTCTTTCTCACTCTTGTCTCTCTGTGCAGCTGTGACGCTCAACTGCTAATGCTAACTAGCCCCCGCTGCTACAGGCTAATCAAAGAGACACTGACAGACAGGCAGACAGACAGGCAGGCAGACACGTACCTCGGATGGTAGTTCAACACTCTTTTAGGAGAAAAACAGTCCCATTTAAAATACTTTGCCGTCGGCTCAGGTCTTTCTCTAACACATTTCGTTTCTCCTCTCTCCCTCCCCCTTTCTCTCTCCTACTCTCCTACTCTCTCTCTCTCTCAGTCTCGGTCTCACACACACACGCACAAACATACGCTCACTCATGCACAGGCGTCGTCCTTCTCTGTTCTCACACACAAATGAACATTCAGTCAAGGGGCTACCCACAATCCCCTGCGCCACACAAAGACAAGGGGGTGTGACCAATCACATACCGCCTCACTCTGCAGCGTGTTTTTTTTCCTTCCTCCCTCACAGTGTAATGACCACAGACTCACTGACTGCTGGGTGGGCAGCCCACAGGGTTGCCGTGACAACGCATCCCCACTTGTTCTATGTTGCTATCACATAAGAACACGCACGCACACACGCACACACTACAGTTCCTACAACCAATGCCGTGTGTGTGTACTGTAAGCATGTGTGTGTCCGCAGCGGTGACAGCAGCTAGGTTCTGATGGGACCCAGTTAAAAAAGAGAAGTCACGGGGGTATGGGGAGGGAGGGGGGACACGGTGCTGACAGAAGCTTCCAGAATTATGAAAGAATAGCTGTATAAATAGCACACTGCAGGTCCTGTATACTGCCATGACAAGAAGTACCAGGACCTGCACATACTGCTCACTCTGCAGTACTGCATCTGTACTGCAAAAATTGGATTTAAGATACTTAGTACACAGGACAGAAGACTGTCTAACTGTCTGAGACTCCGCCTCAGACCTGTGGTGGCCTACAGTCACCGACTTGATTGACATGGTCGTCTTCCGGTCTTTTATTGGTCACTATGAGACCAGATTAACTTTTTCAAGAATGCTGCTGTGCTCAGAAACATAGCCCATTCACAAGTCACCCCCCCCCCCCCCCCCCCCCCCCCCCCCCCCCCCCCCTCTCCCTCTCCTTCCCCCCTCCCCCCCCCTC